CATTCTAGAGGARTAGGCCTTTAGTCTTAACTGGTTTTAGTCTATTTTGTCTCACAAAAAGTTGACCTAAGGTGGGCATTATTCAGCTAAAAATATTAATTTAAACAGAGTTTGTTCAAGTTTTATTTTTCATCTTGGGTCAAAAACAAATCAGAGAGATTGCATCTATGTGTGGCTATTTTCTAAACTACCTTGGGGGAAGAAACATTGATGCTTCTCCAGTAGCCCTCTAAAACCTGGAAAACAGTGGCACAGCCACTCTAGGTAAGATTAAGATAATTTTAGACTTAAGTTTTTGACAAAGTAATTTTCTTTCATACTGCCAATGACGGTGCTAAATTATATACAACCTTTCTCCTTTTTCCTCATTTTACAAAGAAATTAAAGTGATAAATATATACATGTAAATATATACATGTATACATGTAAAATCCAGCCTATATCCAGACAGTTGCTGTTTTCTCAATATAAAACAATTCCATGATTTCTTCTTAAACTTTTTTTGGGATTAACTGATGTCTATATAACAAGGAAAACCARTATTTTTGGCACATTTTCCTCCCACATACAATGCCATATTGCCACTGTTTTAAAATCTACTAGCTACATTTATCTGTGATTGTATTTCTCCATTCAAATTAATTTATTAAGAAAGTGGATTTTTATAATTTGAAACATCATAGCTGGCCAATAATGCTTGGGTAATATTCTGTTTAAATGTAACCATCTTCCCTGTTGCAAGCATCATTGCTGACCTTAATGTCATACAATATCATCTGCTCAGCAAATTGTACCAATAGTCTCATTGTATTTTTTAACATGTATGCTTATCAGGAAAAGTCAGGAAGAGAAAAATTCACAGTTCTTTGGAAAAGAATTTAAATGAATTAAACAAAGATATCATTATTAGCAAGTCTAAATTCAAATATGGTTATAGTAGCAGCAGGAACCAGAGCTGCTGCTTAGTCTTTTAAACAGTGCCTTATTAAAAGAATAAGCTGGTGAAAGGACTGGAGAACACAAGAGGAGCAGTRAGGGAGYTGGGGTTGTTTAGCCTGGAGAAATGGAAGCTCAAGTGGGACCTTATCACTCTGCACAACTGCCTGAAAGAAGTTGGAGCCAGGTAGGGCTCAGCTTTATATCCTGAGGAACAAGACACAGGACAAGAGGAAATGGCCTCARGCTGCACCAAGGGAGGTTTAGATTGGACATCAAGAAAAATTTATTCACTGAAATTATGGTCATGCATTGGAACATGATGCAGGCAGGTGTTGGAATTACTGTCTCTAGAAGGACTTAGAAAATATGCAGATGTGACACTTGGGGACATATTTTAGTGGTGGGCTTGGCAGTGCTGGGTTAATGGTTGTACATCCCTAGTTCAAGGATGCTAGATGTGTTTTCCAACCTGAATGATTCTCTATTTCTGTGTGTATCACACTACTCAGAAGCATAAAATTGTCATGCACAGGGAAAAACTAAAGCTGCTGACATTCATAATATTAAAGAAACAAAACCTTTCTCCCCTGCAAGAAGTACCTGCCTCAGCACTACCTTACATAAATTACTGGCTGATACAGAGCATGGGCTCTGTACAAGGTAGAAAAGTGTGTGCCACATATATATTTCTAATATTTTTCTCATTCTGAGGAAAAGAATCAAAATGGATTGCCTTATTTGCGAAAGTCCCTCATGCAAAGAAGTTTTATGGTGGTATGTGAGGCTTTGATGCTTACTAAAACAGTAAGAGTCAATAAGTTCTGAGTTCAACCATCCACCTGGTTCTTGAGTTAATACTGAAAGGAACAAACAGCAAACCAGGACTTTGTTTCATCTTTGTGGGATGTAATCCTCTAATGGGGATAAACTGATTCTGTCAGCACCTGGTACTCACATTGAGGTTGTCCTTGTCAGTTACAACTTATAGGGAAGGACAAGCTCCTTGGAAAAAATGGTGAAGATGGAAAAATTTGTGGATGAGCACGTGGAAACTGGAGGAATGGAGGCCATATGACTGCAGTTCGCAACTACAGGASTTGGAAGTGTAACACAGTTAGCGTGTGACTGCCAAAGCTTCTGTCAGACCATACCTAACCCCAATTTAGTTCAAGTACTGAACTTGCACAAGTGGCAGCAGGATGCTCAGGGCAGACTGAGCAGCACAGAACTTCCAGAGCAGACTTCTGCCAAGGAGGAGGAGATGATCTGCCTGGATGATTTTTCACACGGATTMATCCGTAATATTCCTTCAGTCCCAGGTGGAAAGCATCGCGCCACCACTTCAACCTGGAAAAGTACTTTGGGTTTCCCAGCTGTCAGATGCTTTGCAGACATCTGCCCCAGGAGAAGCCATAGCTTTTGGAAAGCTTGGCTGGCAGAGGGAGCTGGCCCACAGGAGTGAGACAGGRTCTATATATATAGAGCATCTTTTCTAAAGTACTCTTTGTTATTTTATTCCTTCTAGATGTAACTAGYTTTTGACATCAGTAAAGTCCCTGTCAGGGAATAGCTATATAGCTTGAGGATACTAGAGCCATAAGGGTATCATTTCCTTGAGGGGCACAACCTGCTGAAAGGAGAATGGAAAATTAGGGCTGAAGGAGTGTCAGTCTGTGTGAACTCACACAGGGATGGAAGCAAAAAAAAAAAATTGCTGAATCAACACAATGTGCCTTTCCATCCCATGCTGCTGTCTCCAGCAGCTCCCTCATTAAGGGGTGCATTTTAAATCTAGAAGTCTGAGTTTTCAGTGCTTGAATAGATAGCCAGCCTCCTTCCCACATTGAATGATTTGGCTAGTCTGTGGACACTGCAAAATGCAAACACTTTCCATAGAAAAATGAATAATGCTGCAACAATTATTGAACATGTGAAATATACACATAAGMACACATAGAGCAAGGTATAGCTATTGGTAAATGTGGGCTTTTTAATAGGTGACCTTTGTAATCCCACATAGAAGATCTGTCCTGGATATGAAATTCATACTGCACYTAATTTCACCCAGAATGCCAATTCCGTAGTTCAATATTTTTCATTTATTTCARGTTTCCATGGTTTGTTTATACAATGCTGAAAAGCCATTTAGGTTATTCTTCATGCTACACTTCTCATTTTGGTATTCATGAAAAACTTCTTTTCCAAGCAAAAAACAAACCCCCAAATCCTAATCTGCTTTCTGCCCCTCCAGGGTGTGAAGAGGCAGAACTCTAAAAAGCATTTGCAACTCAGAAAAGCCCACATCTGTAGAAGCATATAAACTGAGGGGGAAAATATCTTTCATTAAGTCAGGGCAGATCTATTTTGTATTCTAGCCATTTACATAGAACAGGATTATACTTCACTAAATAAGTGGTAAAGTAATGCTTGGTAAAGTATATATTATCTTCTTAAACATAATCTCATAATCAGATGTAGCAGCATCTTAAACAAATACATTTCTCAATAGGTGATGTTATACCATGCAAAGTAGGGGAATCATTTCACAGGAATTTGATACACTGTTAGTGCTTTTATCTTGTTCCTAAGATATAGTATTGTTTGGGCATTAAAAGAATATTAAGTCCAAAGTTGCAAAATTCAGTTTTCAGCCTGTTTCAGTGTTGATTGTTATGTTCTTCATACTTTGGTTTACAATCCCTTGTGATAGATTAAAAAATAAAAAAGAATTAACACAATCCTAATGACAGAGGGCAATTTATATTTTTCCATAGTAATCTCCTACTCATTTGCTTCTATTAAAAGGAACAAATTTTTCCAGGTTTAAAGGCAAAGCATGAAAAAAAAGGTAGACCACTGGTAACCAGATGTRTGTAAGGAAATCATGTTTTATGAAWAAAATCTGGGGAACACTGYTGAGGCAATTTTCTAGGATGTAAAATACTTCTGTAATTCATTAAAATATGTAAGAAAGGTGTTATGCCATTGCAACCACTGTCTGATTCCTCAGCACCAAAGCCACATTTTCAGAGAAAAATTAGGCATGTAAAGTGTCTTCAGTAAATTTGTCATCAAACATTGAACAACTGGWTCCCAGCAATGATCCTTCATCTGTGTCTGCTCATTTGCCAAATGTTCTTCATCCAACTGACACCTCACACAAGGCTATCTCTTCTCATTAAGCACAAAGCAAACTTTAGCCTTGGCATGTCTTGTACRTTCTATGTTAGTGCAAAAGAGATATCTCAGCTGATCAAATAAGGAAACTTGAACATTTGAAGCTTTTTAAAATGAAAAGCACTATATAGAAAATATGAAGCTCATCTCAGGAACTGCTGGAAGCCTTGGCTGCTACATGTGGCACACAGTGGCCATGGCTGTGTGGTCTAAAGCAGGAGGAGGTGGTTTACAGGTGAGGGGGTGTCAAAGCACCCAGAAAAGGCTGTCTGGAGAAGCTGTGGATACCTGATCCCTGGAAGTGTTCAAGCCAGGCTGGATGGAGCCCTGAGCAGCCTGGTCTAGTGGAAGGTGTCCCTGCCCATGGCAGGATTGTTGGACCTCGACGATCTTAAAGCTCTGTTCCAATACAAATCATTTTATGATTCTATGATTCTATGACATCTTAAATATGGCCAATTTGAAGTTATCTGTGGAAACTTTGTCTATGATGTGTAAGCAACAGAAATGAAAGCAGAATGAGCAAACCAATCTACAAAACACTGCAAAACTGCAAAACTGCAATCCTTTCTCCAAACCCAGGGATGTGTAACTCACCAAGAGTTCATTAAACCCCTCCCTCCTCTTCACTCCACAGCCTGGAGAACACTGCTCCTTTACAATTCATTCCAGGAGTAAGAAAAGGACTGTTTTCTGCACAGTTTACATTCTTTTTTTATTTTGCCTGAATAAAATYCACACAGTTCTTTCTCATACAGTGMTCTCARAATAAAGTTTCTACATTTGTATTTTCTCTACTTGCACAAAAAAAAAGAGCAACAGAGATTCAGGTCAATGATTGTTGTTGATTCTTTGTAAAAAGTCTCAAATACTCACCATGGCATTCAAGGAGCAGCGACAGAAATTTTTTTAACATTTTGAAGTTAAATGTTCTCAGTGAGGTGGTGTTGACCATCTTGCTGGTAGTGGACATGGCATCCACAAGCTGTCCTGGTGAGATCTACTGCAGTGACAATGAGTGTCCTGTGACAGAGCAATGACACTTACAGAGAGCTATGGGCAATTATAGGATCTGAAAATGAGGAAAGAGCATGGGAAAAGGCACAGAGTTTAAAAACATTAATATGGATGAACAACAAATCATGGTGCTGTTATTCTGTGTTGGATTCTGGGAATAACATTGTGTTTTTAAAATCTGGGTATTATCATAACAAGACAGAAATTTGTTAACCAATACATGGTTCATTTATTTTGCTAATTATAAATTACTGAAACACATCTTTCGTCTCTGCCCCAGTATAGAAGATTCTTGTTATTTTCTTTCTTGTTTCATGTACATTTTTACTTTGAAACAGTGCTTTATTCTGATAGGTAAATACAGTTACAGGTTTAAATGAAATCCACTCTTTTACAAGCTAGAAGACAACACAGGTTTTCTGTAGAGAAGTATTAAAAGCTCTATTTTGCTAACACAACCTGCTTTAATTTAAACATACGGTTCTCCCGTCAATTCTCCTGTCATTACTTTCATGCCTAAAGATATGCAGATGCTCAAATGTTTACAGGATTGGCTATTAAGTTAGTTAGCAGTTAATTAATTCCACCAATTAATTAATAAAGGAGGCAACATTGCATTTCCCATTTCAGAATCCAGTGATGAAGGTTATTCTGTTAAAAGGATTAATGAGATCTGTACTGGAAATTCCTGATTATCCTTGTTCCAGTGCAATGGTCTTTTTTTTCCCAAAAGGAACCTTAGAGGTGAGGATAATTTTAGAATCACAAAATTTGGGAATGGAAAGGTGTAGATATGGAGAAGACAGAAAGCCTTACTTTCACTTTTCCCCAGTCTAGAAAGAATCCTTTTTAATTTAAGAAAAAAGTGATTTATGTAGAATAAGAGTCAATTGGAAKATAAGCAAGAGAGAAATAAAGGCTTGTAAAGAATTGCAGCCATTGCAAGACACCCTGACTGCAGAGGAACTCTATGCAGAGAGCATCTGCAATTTGGACTAAGTATCTAATTCGTTATCAAACAACACTAACTTGTTTCCCTGTCAATATCTTCTGGCTGCAAATTCTACAGCTTATAGCTGTGTTCATTTCTCAGCCACTTTAAATTTGCAGAGGATTAATTTAATTGACTGTTTCATTAGCCTTATGATACAGGAAAGGATAAAAAGTAATCCCTAGCTGCCAAAAGATCATTGCAATATAAAATTCATTTGCATTCAAATAAATATATATTATAAATACATGAGTATATTCATGATTTTAAGGAGAAATTTTGTATCAAGGTCCCTGTTCACACAGAATTAAGTTTCTCCCTKTTATTCCCCATGGTTCACCCACCTTCATTCATCAGTGGAAAAGGACTGAGATATTCCAAACTGCAGAGCAGGGGTTGGTGAGCAGCATTTGCTCTCTCTTTGCAGGGGAATGTAGAGGCTGACGACTTCCTGTGTAAAGTTCTCATCTGCAGATGTTCATATCTCAAWAGCTGGAAGAACCAATTATTAAAATATTAAGCAGTGCTTCCATGAGTCAGTCAGTATCTTCAGAAGTTTCTGAAATACGTTCATTTGTCTAGACTACATCAAAGSAATAAACCCAATTTTTTAAAAGACTGATGTGTGCAACAATTGCATATCATTCCTCAGATTCTCTTTTCAGATTGAAAATTGCTCAGTGGTTCAAAAGAAAGATTAAAAAACAACTGAAGTATAAGGGGATAAATTAAGATTCTGTGTAAAGATTCCCACTGCATTTAGCGGGTTTTGAAGAAGCATACATTTCAAATGACTTGCTAAACATTCTGTCTGCCAAAAGTAATAAAATAATAATTTACACTGGTGAAATTTCTTTCATCGAAGAATCACAGAATGTGCTATATAAGTCTGGCAGAAAACTTGACTTGGAAGAAATTAAAAATACAAAGAGGTTTAGGCCCAAATATCTGATGCTGTTACGGATGTGATGCTGTTCACTGACAGGATACAAGAGGTGGACCCTCTTTACACCAGCAGGAARTKACAGCTTTTCCTTTCTRATGTTTTKCATGGGTGGAAAAGACATTATCCTCTTGGTGTGGATGATCTGRATCCCTCTGACCTGTGCCACAACTTTCTYCTTGGCCTTACCCAGGCAYRAATCATGGACCTGCCACTGCCACTAAACACCYGGGAAACAAAGGAAAAGCTCACGTGCAACGTGCACAATGTCACTGAGGGAACCTCCAGGTGGGAGTTCAAACTCAAAACTGTCACATTTACCCCATGATGGCTTAACAGCACTCCAGGGTACAGGAGAGAGCCCCCACCCACCAAGGCAGCTCAGGATTCCAGGCTCCTTTCCTGTAGCAGGGTCCAGCAGTCAGGACAAGTGGGACACCACACGAGGCTCTGGGGATCGAGCTACTCTTGTGCCTTGTCAGATGTATCCCCTCAGCAAGTTTTCCAGAGCAGAGAAAAAGGAAAACTTTTGTTTTTACCTAAAAAAGAGATTTCTTGTGATGAATCTTTGCTTGAAACAAAGATTTGTCTYGCTTTTGCAACAAATCCAAGATCTGTCTTGCTTTTGCAGCATTCATGGATGCAGCTGCCTGGGTCAAAGAGTGTTTTAACATAAGAGGTGGGGATTTGTTCAGGAGTTTGTTCATGAGGAGGAGAACAACCAGCAACCCTGTACAGTGAAACTTTATGTCAAGGCAACACTAAACTCCAATTAACTGCTGCTTGGAGGTTTAAAATTAGGAGTAAACCTTGATGTTTAGGAAACATAGTTTGATTTTCAGAAAAAAAAAAAAAAATACTGCAATCTGTGGATATGAAGGATGTCTGAAAATCAAGCCTTTTCTGCTGTCAAAATAAATCAATGCTTTTCTATAAAGSTCTGAGCTTATGAATTAAAAGCAGAAAATGCAATACAAATAGACATGCACACATGCAGAACCCAGAACCTCAAACCCTGGCTCTGATTGAAGTAGTTTATCGGGTCTTATACTACCTGAATATTCCAGATAAGTATGKCTTTACAACTTTACTGGCATTATAGTATCTTTTCCACCCCTATATTTTGTCTAATCAAGTCAAAAGTCATTTATTTGCAAATAATGGCCTAACGTGCTTCTTAAATAATGTGAATTTGTAAACAAACTGAAAACATAATTGGAGGAATTACAGGAATAAAACACAAATGAATTAGCTCTCTGAATTTCTCTCTGCAGAATTAGCAAGACATAATCTGTTTACATTTTACTCCCAGGTTGGGGTTTTGTTCTACTTGTTATTGTTGTTTTCCAACTACTTTTTTGCAAGTCATAAGAATACAGTTTTTTTTTTTTTTATCTAGTTGTCCAAAAAACTCTGATGCATTACCCACATGGGAATCCTGGTGGTGCCTTGTAATGGAAGGCAAAAAAAGAATCAGGAAGAGAAAAATCAATTTAGCCACCAAGCATAAGGGTCACAGCCAAATTAGTTTCAGTACTGATGGCAAGGTTCTATGATTTGAAAGGGAAGCCAAATAAAGTAAGAAAAAGGTAATAGTCAGCAATGTTTTAAATCATCTGGAAATAACATGGGCCATGACACAGCACCACTGCATTGCATGAGCACTACAGGCACTCTATTTTTCTATCACCGCTTCACATTTCTCTCAGAAAATAGGGAGACTGAATGCTTAAAGACCTGAGTGCAGGGGAAATATGTCACGCAGCAAGACATCTGCCAACTTTGTGTTTCTTAGCATTACTGGAGTAGAGGACATGATTTGTGATAGAGCAGAACGAGGGAAGAGGCCAAAGAGAACATGACCACCGCAATGAGACATCATTTATTCATACTTTTACTGCCAGAAGTAAATAAAGTTATGCTTGTAATTATTGCAGCATATGTGGAAGTAGGAGGAAAACTGCTGAAGCTTTATTGTCCAGATAGCGCAGAAAGGCAGTTAATTTATACACAGACACACTGAAGAAACASTGCCCATTATCACTGCTGTCCACTCTAACACATTCCATCTTCAGCCAGATTTAATTTAACAAGAAGAGCTTCAATCTGCCACTGCTGCRGTCTCTCCCTCCTGCACTTCACAGCCTCTTTTATGTGTCTGGAGAGAGAAGGAGGCGCTGTAATTAGCTGCTGATATTAACAGGCTTTCTTTTGCTTTATGAAGTTGGAAATAAATGGTCACATTACTGAGCAGACTGCTGGATACTCATGATATTTTTTTTGAGTTATTTATACTAGGAGTGAGTGCTATTGTTTCTGTGCTGCTTTCTTGCTTTTGTGTAAAGGAGTTTCTCTTTCTGTATCAAAGCAGATTGGGGTCCCTGTTCYGTTTGTGTTAGCAGAATGGCCCCAGCCAGGGAGATTACAATCTCTAACATGAGAATATGAAAAGAAGCAGGCAGCAGAGCAGCACAGAGATGTGTAAAGATATTTACTTCAGCAATTTACAAATCAGAGTCTTACATAGTTAGGTTTTTTTGGGGGTTTTTTTTTGGTTTTTTTTTTTTCCTATTATTTTGTCTCATACAGAATCAGATAAAGCTTCCAAGAAAGCAGGACAATTTCAGAAGTGTGTGGCAGCAGTTTCATAAAAGTGTCACATTGTCATTGTTTTTCACAGTACCTGTAGGAACTTAATTTTTCTCCAGTTACTATCTCCAAGATGTCTGAAACTGGCCAGAGGGCTAAAAAATTATTGGACAGGTCAGAAACACAGGGAAAGGTGAAAGGTGAGCAGAGGAATGAGTTTAATGGTAAAGAGCTGACTTTGATGCTCAAAACAGTTCAGAAAGTAGCACGCTTGACTCAGTTACAAAAGTCTCAGCAGCCAGAGTGTCACACCATGGACAGATTTTGTTAAAAGTGTGTAACAGTCAAAGGAGAAGCTCCACTAAAGATAAAATTTCTCCTTTACCATACAATATCAGCTTCATGATACTTCATGAAACACTTGCCACTGCTTGAAGCTTCATGAAACACTTGCCACTGCTCTCCTCCTACCTATTATAATAGCACGTTTTTCATCAAGGATTTTTTTCTCTTTTCTTCTTCACATTTTTTTATTTAGAGAGTGAGAAAACTGCTATGATTTAAGCCACAGGAAATGTTTCGGTAGCATTAAATGACAACCAAATCTTAGAATCGTAGAATCACAAAATTATTTGGGTTGGAAGGGACCTTAAAGATCATCACTTTYCAGCTCCCCTGCCGTGGGCAGGGACACCTTCCGCTAGACCAAGCTACTCAAAGCCCCATCCAACCTGACCTGAACACTGTCAGGGATGGGGCAGCCACAACTTCTCTGTGCCAGTGCCCTAATTCCCTCACAGAAAAAATTTTCTACGATCTTATTTAAACCTACCCTTTCAGTTTAAAGCCATCTATCACTGTCTTATGATAGCGGCCCTGTCAGAAGTCTCTCTGCAGCTTTCTTGTAGCTTCCTTTAGGTACATCAAGGTTCTGTAAGTTCTCTCCAGAGCCTCCTCTTCTCCAGGCTGAGCAGCTCCAACTGTCCCAGTCTGTCTTCATATGAGAGGATGTTGCAGCCCCCTGATATCTTTGTGACCCTTTCTGGACTCACCCCAACATTTTCCTTGTGCTGGGGTCCCCCAGATCCATACACAGCACTGCAGCTGGGGTCCCACCAGAGTGGAGTAGAGGGGGAGAATCCCCTCCCTCCCCTGCTGCCTACAGTGCTTTGGATGCAGCCCCGGACACATTTGGCTTTCTGGGCTGCAAGTTTACACTGCTGAGACCTGTTGAGTTTCTTGCTCATCCAAATCCTTCTCCTCTGAGAGAAGGCTGCTCTCAGTCCATTCTCTGCCCAGCCTRTATTTTTGCTTGGGTTTGTCCTAACACAGGCACATGACCTTGGCTGTGTTGAACTTCAGGAGGTTCACATGTGCCCACCTCTCCAGCCTGCCCAGGTCCCTCTGGATGGCATCCCTTCTCCCCAGGGTTTTGGCTGAACCTCTCAGCTCCGTGTCCTCGGTGAACTTGCTGAGGCTGAACTTTGTCCCACGGTCCATGTTGCTGACAAAGATGTTAAACAGGTTGGGACTGAGACCAGGAGAAAGACATCAGCACTCCTTCTAAAACATACATTGGTGCTCATATTTGATTAAAATAGGTACCTGGGCAAGATTCTTCTGAAATCTGTTGAACAATAAGAATCATAATCTTTCAGGCTCAGTAGTGGCAACTTAAGGRTAATATTAACTGACTTAATGGATCCTTGCATTTGTTTTAACATGGATGCTCTTCCAACCCACTTCCACTCTTGTCCAAATTAAACTCAAGCTCTGTTTTTAAAGCTTAATTTTACTCTCTTATTCGTGCTGCAAGTATTTTATCCTGATCTACTCATCTCAAGCCCTCGGTAAGTGATACTTGATGGAGCAGCTTCCCCTGCAAACTGCTCATGAAGCTGCAAACTCTCGGGGCAGTGTTGCTTCCTTTTGCCAATCAGTGGAATCTCTCCATATCCCTGCTTGTTCCTGGTCTAGAGATGTGGGAGTGGCAGCAAAAACTTGAGTTTGCTACAAGCATAGAATAACACTATCTACAGAGATTTTTAATAGACTGAGTCCCCGTACATACATGCTTTTTCAATAAATGATAGACATCTTTTCAAACCCCAATTTTTATACTTGGTTGTACAGCAGTACTCCAACAGATGATATCATCTACCCTTTCTTACAGCATATTTTCTGTGTTAGAATGAAGAGTAAGTTTAAAATTGAAGATCCTTATTTTGCATAATTATATGTAAAGGCAGGAAATGTATTTCTATCATTTATTGAAGCTTTTTACAAGAATTCATCCCTGAATTCTGAACGAAAGTACATTTTATATGTATAGAAAATACCAGCAGTAGCAGTCAAGAATAGCTATGGTAACAAGTCTAAGAGATTTTGACTCATATCATAGTCAGTGAATAAAATCTCTTTATACGAAATATCCCTGAAGACTTTTTCTGAGCAAAATTATACAACTGTTTTTCCCAGAGTGTGATGGTGCATCACACAGCTGACAAGACCCAGAAAACTGGTACACTGCTGAGGGCTCTTTTCACAACACATGCTTAGCAATGTGGATGCACGCTGGGTCTGCAGTCACTACAAGTCTAACAAAAGGTGTTGCTTTATTTAGAGGAAATTCATTTTCTAGGTAATCTTCCTTTAGAAGCTTTAGGAGAAATCTTGAAAAGGAAATAAAAAAAAAGCTGCAGAAGGTTCCTCTGGAGGGATGCTTTAAAACTGGGATAAAAAAATTGAATTGTATTATTATTTTACATGCATGACCAAGAGTAAATGTTTAGAAACCTCTGACCATCCAGGAGCAGCTCCGGCAGTCACCCTCTTATCCCYTCAAGCTGAGACTTAGGTCCCTTGKCACCCAAAAYCCCCACTCTCTTGCAGTTTTACAAGGTTTCCTTGCTGGCTCAACTCCAGGTTTCCCATGGCAGAATCTTGCATGCCTGGATCCTTAAA